CCTGCGATTCAGCCATCCGACGAAGAGGAAGAGGAAGAGGAAGAGGAAGAGGACGCTCTCTCCGGTTTTCTCTTTTTTTTCTCTCCTCCAAACCCTGAATGAGCAACCAAAAGTGTACGTTTGGAAAATTGGTGACTTGACCTCATGATTATGCGCTCAAAAGGGAAGCAGGCTGGCTCTGGGAGGAGGAAGCAGGTGTTAAATTCCTCCTCTTCGTCATCTTTTTGGTTTGAGTTGCTTTTGTGGGTTTGACTGTCAGAAGATTCTGCAACTGGAACCTCAAAACTATCTCTGTGTCTTATTGGTGCTTTATAATTTACATGGAATTCTTTCAAATGCATTAATTAAGACTTAAACTAACCATAATATCTCTTGTTAGCCATCAAATGTCAGTTTTACTGGCTTTTGCGGCATAAAAATATTATTTATGCTTCTATTTATGCTTCTGAAAGACACTAGCATGACAGAATCTATGCACAGGATGCATAATTAATCTGTTATTTTTTATTTATAAAACATTTTTTAACTTATCTATAAAGCCAATAAGATTAGGAGAGCAAAATAATCAGCAAAGATAAAAAAAAGTTAAACTATAACAAAAGTTTGACGTACTTTATGAAGAGTAAAATGGATAATGTATTCAATAAAATAGTATAAAAGACATTGTCTTAATAAACTTTATTAATGAAATTAATAAAGAATTAAATGAAAGATTATAAATGTGTTTACAAATAGTTATTTGAAAATATTGGTAAAACACAACAATAATTTGAAATCTCTCCTAAAAACATAGAAAGACTCATGAAAGTGGTTCCACTAATAAGGACCATTAAAACCAAAACATGCTTCTCCAAATGCTTTAGAGAACATTTTAGGAACAAATATCAGAGTCAAGTCAGATAAATAATCAGGAAATAATTAATTAAAAACATATCCAACCATTTGTAATGAATTGGGAAGCCAACGCAGGCATTTTGAAACAAAAAAGGAGTTCTCTATCTTGTTTTCATCACCGGACTCAGACAAAAGCAGCCTGCTGGGGTCTGATGGAGGCATGAATCGATACCTTTGCCCGGGAGAAAACCGTGTCACTATTTAATGTTCCTTAGATGAGAGAACACCGTCTTTGGGGAGATGTTTAATTTAGATTTAGATTGAAAACAAAAAAAAAAAAAGTCTAATTCAGATGGATTAAAAGAAAGTGGTTTCACTTTTAGAGATTGTGTGCTTCAAAACAGCTTTTTCCTGACTGAGCTGTAAATGTTTTCAACTATCCTAATATCTAAAATACAGCTATAATAATAAAAGTAATAATAATAGTTATAGGAACAATAACAATAATAATGATAATAATG